AGTGTAAAGCCATCACCGCACCAATTAAGACCCCAAGCGGTGGCTACAGGAGATGGAGGGATAATTATAGTACGCACGCGTATGACCGCTGCGAACTATAAATACCACGCAATCTGTGCATGCTTCATACCTATATGCGCATGGCTCCGACTATCATACCATCACCTATGATTAGGGATTCCCGACAGAATCCGAAACGTCAGAAAAATAAAACTCTTCTTCCAGTGGTCGCATCTTTTTTTGGACGGTTATAAACGTTTGCGTCTCAAATACTTGCGTACATATATGTACTATCTTATTGAAACCATTACGTTATTCGTTCTATTTCTCCTCATAAAAACGGTTGTTTATTTACGCGCTAGGAAACTTGCAGGTATCATTTAACTAAACTAAAGTATTAAGTGCGCGCCGCTGCCAGAAATTGCTATGTTGGATAAATTCTTCATTAAATATATACGGACGCCTATTGCTGATGGTAAATTACACTTTCTACTTATAGGCTAATCTTGTCTGTTCTTTTTCTTCAGGTCTTTTCCTCCTCAAGCTCTCTCAGCCGTTTGTTCATGATGCAACAAACTGCTCAACAGCTTCAATCAGATGCGCTTTCTTACACACCAAGGAGGGTGAACACGTTCTGGTATATTTTCCTAAAATATGTGAATGATGCTTTTATGGGCGCTTCCGAAACAAAGAGCACAGTTACGGCTGCACTGCTTAGCTACAAAGGCCCGGTGTTTGCACATTTCTTTGTTTATTTTAGGCATTTATACGATAAAACTCAAATAATTACGTCGGTTATCAATTAATATTGATTAACCGCCTGTACGTTTCCGCAAAATTGCGTCCGATCATTTGTTAATTGTTAGTAATATTGGCATCAATATAAGTGTATGTAAACAAGCTACCGGGAATTTGCCACTTCCATTTCGTGCTTGAGACTCCAATGCGCGTAAACATGAGGTGTCTAGTTTTCCGAACAGCAAAATACATAAAGGTTCTTTCAAAGATCTAGTAAGGTGTGAAATCTCTTGTAGCGATCACGATTGTTGATAACCTCTAAAGACGATCATTCGATAAAATCTTCCGATCCATTAATTTTCCTTCACTTCTGATTAACTACCTAGGGATATATCCCCGGCCATGGTCGGGTTTCTCTGCTTGAGACAGACGCAAAGTTAGCCTGCAAATAAAATATGCTAAACGCGTTGTTTCGGATAGTCTACTTCGAAGATTTCCACCACGTGCTCCAGGTTGTAGTGGACGTAGTGAGTTTGATATTAATATGTGGGGTACAATGCATAATGCATATGATGGAAAGTGCCGACATTAACGAAAAATAGCTAAGCATTTGCAAAATGGCAACAGGTAATAGTCCAAAGCGTTAAACAAATATAGAAAAACTTTAGACAAATTAAAAACATTTGGCAAATATTAAAAGTAATATTAGGTTGTTTGGACATGCTGTCTTTCTATAAAAGCAGGAAATTCCGAAAACGGAAAAACATGGATGAAACGCGCTGCATCTAATATTCAAGCCCGTCACCGCGGTCACTATAAATAGATGCGACTTATACTGATACTCTCTGAGGAGCACCTGTCTAATCTAATGCGTCTGTTTCGTTATAGTTCAAGGTTATTACAAAATATCGAACTATCTGTGGGATCGGCCATCAGGACTTGGCGCCTTGTAGTAAGTTTTTTGCGCTTACTACAGAAACGTTTTGCCCCAAATTGGGGCATTAACAAATTCCTTATATTTTATTATTCTTCTTCAGAACACGTCATTTTCGACAACAACACTGGCACAGTCACAGTGACGGTTGATGTCTACAGGGGAGATATCAACGGGGAACGGTATGGTATTTTCACTTGCCAGTCCGAAGACATTGAGGATCTTCATCATGTGGTCGACTTCGGGGTTGAAACGCCGACCGCATAAGTAATCATTTGGAAATTGATTGCCATTTTGGATTAACGCTCTAAAGCTTCTTTATCAATGCTTCAATAGCTTCTTCTTCAGCAACCTGCATTTGCTTTTATGTGTTTGACACATTTGATATTGTGACAGTTTTTTGGTGTTCTGTTTCATTAAGCAATCATTTTAATGAATCAAACTATTTATACATCACGTTTAGGTTGGTTGACACGTTTTGACCACGGCCTCTGAAACAACTCATATATTCCATTTTAGTTATCTGGTTTCACGGTGGAGGGAAAAGAATGCTACGGTTGGTGAATGCTACTTAGTTGGTGATGGTATCATGTCTCCCTTTGAACTAAATAAAACTGGAACTTACCCCATTTTCTTAATTGCATTCAATAAAATATCCTCATTTGCTAGAAATATGCCTCAAGTTATCAACCTTCATTCACTCACAGCAAACTATGGGACGACAAAATGTGCCCGTTGGTGAGTCAATCAACCAAACGTTATTTCAGTTCACGTCGATTGTTCTCTGTGATTTGGCGATCTGTGAGCATGCACTCGGGAGGAGATTAAACAGTAGTTTTAGTAGTGTTCGTGCTCACGAGCTGGTCGGAACACCGTTTTTTGTAGGTCATTGCGTGCTAATGACGGAAGATGTACACTGTGCTCTAAGAGTTTCTGAAACCTTCTTTCAAACGAACCGCTGAAGTAAACATATGGCTTGCAAAAAATGCCTCTTAATCTCAGTTGGAACTCATAATTTATAACTGAACGATCGTCTTATCTCGTTCTGTATTCACGTCAATGGGGCACATATCATAATCATATGAATAAAAGAATAGAATAATAGGTTAGGTGCATTATCAGAAGATATATGCAGTGGGGAACACATTAACAATGAAGTATTCCTATCGGGACAATATAAATTTCCTTAAGTATGCCTGAGGGCAAAAAATAAGCTTGCAAAGACTCAATTGACCATCCCATCTAAATCTATATAAGCACCGTGCGACAGTATTTTCGGTATTTCGGTCGTGACTGAAACCCAAGCATTAGGTATAGGTGCCATAAATAATGTGTAACTTTTTCATTCACCTTATCTGTGATAGCACCAAATCGTTCACTTTGCGGCACAGCGCTTCCTTGTTCGGTCCGCTTGTGTTACTCTGACTAGTACATATCGAGGCTGTGTTCAAATGCATTAAGTTGATAACCTACGCCGTTACTAAGCCCTTAGCAACCATAGCATACTTTTTTGCCGTGAACTGAACATATCCCGTGTACAGGCGAGAATGGTGCTTTTCAAATTTCTTTGCATGATGTCACGTTCTATCGGCTTGTATCGGTTGGCAGCTTGCAGCATGTTGAGTTACAAAAAATATATCATCGTAAACAAAAAAGAAGAAGAACGGGTCAAGTACGATTCCCTCCTCGCGTGTGACAGGCGGGAAATAAAGTTGGTCATTTGAACTTTCTCTGTGCAGCAATAGAGTTAAGACGAAATAGACCTAGATATTCATAGTCCTAATTTGAAGATTTAAGTAGAAGGAGACCATGCTTAGCAGGATCAGATGATCTAGTGAAATCTAAGTCAATGGTGCTTTACACAAATCTCTCCCCTAACAATTACGAGCATCATAAAAGGAATCCGACAGATCACAGAATTGGGCGTTTGTCAGTGTTGGTAAAGAAAAGCAATATTTGAGTGAGCAATCTGATCAGCATTAGGGGTATTATTCGTCGGAAATTGTGATAAGCTATAGACGGTTGAAGTTGCAACTTCCGGCCGTGGGTACTCTTTTGCGATCATAAAGGTCTTTTGGTCGCACAGGACCTGTTATTCTGTTTTGTTTGCAGTTGCTTTTGTCGTGGAAAATAGACGCTGCTCACTGAGTTTTAACTAGCTCGGGGCCACCTAGATCAATCGGAAGTACTGTCTGGCATCTACGCGATCACCTTAGTCTAACATGTGCGCTAGAAGGGAGCTGTTAATGATCTTTATTTAGCTGTTTCCTAATTACGCCAAAATATGTTTTCTAACACTTTTGGGCAAACGCCGGCTCGCCCGCCCAATGTAATCTGCCACCCAAGAGCTGATAGTTTTTCCTTGCTTCCGCGGAACATGTTAAGATTATTTAAAAACAATGCACGGGCCTCGGCTGCTGGAATTGTGTTTGATACAGTTTGACTTTGGCACCTAAAATGTAAACCTGGCGAAAATTTATTTCGTCTCTGCCTTTGATTCAGGGGGCGTCGTTTTTATTTGCTCACGTTTTCGACTTCACTTAGTGCAACATCGTATTGATTCGAAACTTGAATGGTTTGGCAAGGCTGCTAGTAAATCCTCACTTATTACTTCATTACCAAAAGGTGTTAGTTGCAGAAGCAATACATACACAGGTTCGAAGGGATAAACGGGTTGCTTCAACTTGTCAACCGTTCAAAATCCTCACCTATTATTTCATTTACAAAAGGTGGCAGTTGCATACGCGATACAAATCTTTCATCAGCAGGTCGGTAAATTGATATACAAACCCAGTCTCGAGACCGCGACCAGGTGTTTAGAAGTCCGGGGCTCTGAGCAACTGAGCCACGGAACTGTTGCTGTGCAGCTTTCGATTGGGAATACTGGTGGATGATCCTCAAACCATTTTTTAAACTATACCGGAACGCAAGGCTCCTTGATAAGAGCCACCCTTGAAAAAGCTATTTTTTTCTGATATATGCTGAAGCGAAAGTGCGCTTAAGACCTACTTTTCAAGGCAAGAATACAAGCGCCAAAATATTTCCCAGGCTTATGAAGGAGCAGGCTTTCTGTAAATTAATCATTTGAGTTTACTCATTTACATAGATTTTAAGGTTCTCATATTTTCTCCATTTTTTAATATTTTAGTATTTTCAAGCAATCTACCGTTACTTTTACTGTATATTTTAGTTCTTAAAATTCAGTGATTGATATCTGCCAAAGCAGTCCAATTGCATTTAAATATATACTCGTCATGATATTTTCAATAACGCCTATTCATGAAAACGCGTTTATTTGAACTGTAGCCAGATCCCTGAATAGCAAATAATGAATAAGATAGTCAGAGTCGAGCCAGACGAGTTGATGGTGCCAGTTGGTGTTATCTCACTTTTCATGTCCATAACGCATGCCTATGCTGTCCATTAAATATGTGACCATAAACGTCAGATATGTGATGAAAATGAAGATTAGCACACAGCTCCGGATTCCATAGAACTCATGGAGCATTGCCTCAAGAGGTTCTGTACACTTAAGGTGGTCATATATAGGAAATTCAAGGGTACTTTAATACGCTCCCTAAGCTCTGGTTCATCGCCGTATATAAATTTGAGAGATTCTTTTCTCGACGAATAAGAACCTATGTTTTGGCACGTTATAGTGACGATGCTTTCTCATTCATCGGCTAGGACACAACCAACCATTACAAAGGGTGATTGAACTAGATTTTGCCCGTTTTACGGTTCAGAATAGATTACGAAGAAGTGGAGGGTGGGCTTACGTTCTTGGACATCCTCTTTTGCTATGAATTGAATCTCTTCTACAAAAATCTTTAGCAATACACTCGAAATAGGAACGCCCTCTCTTTGTAAAAAATGATGACGCTGTCGAACTTTGCAAGTTGAATATCAATACCGGTTTTTTCAGTCGGTCTTTAAAGGAGAGGCGAATGTAACCGCTGATATCTCGTGGATTAGATCCCACAATTTACTCAGTTGTCTTCACACAAGCCCCTGAGCTGCAAGGACGTCTGAGACTGAACTAAGTGAAATCGCCTGTTCCGGATATAAAACCTGCAGGGCCGTTGGAACGGTAAGGCGTAGAATTGACAGAGCACCTGCGTGTACTTTTCCGAGCTTCTTTCAGTGCAGGCCTCTTGCCACACGATACGAAGCCTATGTGGATCTTAAAAATACATAAAAATGTGTTTCCGACATGTGCAAACAACTACAGGCTGGTAAGACTCGGATCAATACGTTGCGTAAGGATATGGTTTTTTGTGAGGCCGTTTTTATCTTCGACTTATAGAAAACAGAACACTTTCACATTTACAGTAGGGTGACGTTCCACCGATCGGTTCATTATAATTGACTGCTTCTGTGAACGACATTTTCGTGGAAAGAGACGAGGCGTCTATTAAAACCAGGACCCTGATCTTCACGCTGCCCACGAATTGAAAGGTATCGCTAAGGCTCTACGGTGCTATCTGACCTTGCATTGTCTTGCATTTGTCCCTTATTTTGCTGCCCCTGTGAGAAGCCCAGCTAACTATAGTTAGAACATATAGTTCGAGAAGCTTTCGAATCAAATACAAGATCCTCAGCGAGTTTTAACAGAGTGTGTACCACCTTAAATCAGTGTTAGCTCATTGCTCTTATCAGTGCTTGAACAGTGGCCAGAAGCATCAAGGTTTGCCAGTAAAGCAACACATGAGGAAATTACCGAGACTAGATAAAGGTACCGGCGTTGATTAAGCAGACAGAACAGATAACATTGGGCAAATAAAACAAACAAAGAAACGTTAAAAAGACAGAGGAGGAGAAATATCATATGAGTAAGGTTGACGTAAACTTCACTGTACCAACTGCTAAACAGTATATGTACAGTGTTTATGTTAGACACACTACATAAATATATGCATACATGAAAGAAACTTCCCAGAACGTCCCTTGAGTACCTGCATGAATTCGCCTACAGCGAACACTGCAGAAAATACCCGCTACTCCCTCTCTACTTGTCGGGACTTCCAATGCGACTTACTTGCCTTTTTTCGACATGCGCGTCCTAATCAGATCCTCCTTCGCTGAAACCTCTGATGACTTTGTGCCTACACTTTCCTTCGGATATTTTTCTTGAAGTCCCGAGTGGCACTCAGTGTGTCTAAGGATATAAACAAGCCTCTCTTTATAGCTACTTTAATATGTTAGGTCTATAAGAAGTCGTTACGTTCACCGGAATCGTAATTTTGTTCATCTGAGCTCAGATGAAT